GGGGAGTCTGCTTCTCCCTCTCCCTCTGCAGGTCCCCCTGCTTGTGCTCCCTGTGTGTCAAATAAATAAACAAAATCTTAAAAAAAAAGAAGCAGCTGAGCTAGAAAGGCGTAGAGCAGAGATGTAAGCCTAGATCTGCTTTCACATTGAATATTCCTATCATTTGAGCAAAAGTTATTGGTGATATCCTTACTGCCAAATCGAACACCTGATTTTTAATCATAATCTTATCTGACTTCCTTCTGGTGTGTGACATTACTAACAACTGTTTTCTTCTTGAAACAGCTTTTGTCCTTTGAGATGCCACTCTCATGCAGTTCCCCACCTATCAACCTCTTTCTTCTCAATTGCCTTTATAGTCATTTTCCTCTGTTTTTTTTTTTTTTTCTTAAATAAATATCATTGTCCCTTGGGATTGTGTCCTTGCTCATTGATCTCACACTACCTATTTCCTTGGACGATTTCACACGCTTCCATGACTTCAAGAACCACCAATATATTGGTGATTTCCAAATTCATGGAACGAATCACTATCCTGTTAATTTTCCAGGTACTTGTTATGCTCCCATCAGAGCAAAGCTCTTTCGAGATCTTTTTTTCCTTTTTAAGATTTTATTTATTTGAGAGAGAGAAAGTGAGAGAGAGAGAGAGAGCACACGAGTGGGGATGGGGGAGAGGGAGAAGCAGGCTTCCCACTGAGCAGGGAGCCCGATGCGGGGCTCGATCCCAGGACTCTGAGATCATGACCTGAGTGGAAGGCAGATGCTTAACCAACTGAGCCACCCAGGCGCCCCTTTGATTTCTTTTTTTTTTTTTAATATTTTATTTATTTATTTGACAGAGAGACAGTGAGAGAGGGACCACAAGCAGGAGGAGTGGGAGAGGGAGAAGCCCCCTTCGATTTCTTAAATGCTTTTCCCACCTCTGAGATTTCACATGTGCTTTTCCTTCTGCCTGGAATATTCTTCCCTATCCCTGTCATCTTTGCCCTGAAACTTCCTAAACATTTTCAATATCTGGTTCAAAAGTTACTTTTTCAGACAGATCTTCCACAGCCAATCTAAAACCCACCTATTTTTCCTAACCACATCTTGTGGTTTTTTTCCCCATTTTAGCACTCACCACACCTTCCAATTATATATTAATCTGTGTGTTTTCTTGTTTAATGCATATATCATTTATTAGGCTGCAAGCTCAGTAAAACAAGAATGGCTTTTTTCCTTTTATTTCCTATAAAACTACTGTTTATTTATTTAGCATAGTGTTGTGCACATGGTTGTTAAGTAAATGAGTACTTTGATAGTCTGTATTTATACTGTAGCCACTAGCCATGTGATACTACTTACTTATTTTTATTATTTTAAATTTTTATTTTAGTTCCAGTTAGTTAACAATACACATGATACTATTAAAATTAAAATTAAAATTAAATAACGTTAAAAATTCAGTTCCTCTGTCATACTCGTCAAATGTTAATACTAATAAGCTACATGGCTCTATGTTGGAGACTGTGCATATGGAACATTCCTATCATCACATAAAATTCTATTGGACAGACTAGTCTACACTAAGCAATTAATAAAGGAGTAGTAATAAATTAAGGACTGACTAGACATCTACATCTAGATTCTATGCATTCTATTCTATTCATTCCTAGTTTCTTTAAGGAGCCACCTAACAGGTCCCTAGTCACAAATATTTCTCAATCCGGATGGTTCCTCAAATTATTGCTAAGTATATCTACCCGTCAAGTCACTTCTTTTCTAAAAAACATTGATAACTTCTCATTGCCTACAGGATAGAGTTTGAACTCCTTAATATGGAAACAAGACTTCTTATCTTCCAATTTATCACCCCAATCTTGAATGACATTGCCCCCCATATACGCCCCTCCAGTTCCACTTACAACAAGATTTCACCCTTCTGTAAACCAACTATACTGTCACAATGCTGCCTGAAAGGCCTATCTTTTCCTTTCCTTGATGTAGTCCTCCTCCCTCTGTAGGACTCAATTTTTGAGCTTTGCCAAATATGCAGCGTTCTCAGCTCCAACCTCTGTCACATTATATTGTGATTATCTGTTTCTATCTCTATTTCCGTCACTGTATTATGAGATTTCAAAGAAAAGGGACAGTGGTTTACTTACCTCCCAGTGTCTAGTATATTGCATTTTGTACAGAACTTATATTTTGTTATTATTGAAATAATGAAATGATATGATATAATAGTTACAGAATTGAAAAGACTCACTCTTATTCTATAAACAATTCTTTACTAACTTTTGTGAATTTTTGCCTATTTCAAAAACCTTCTCCCCACCAATCATGATACACTACTCAGTCTAATAGTATTATCTTTGACAGGTCAATAAAATGGCTTTTACTTTAGTTTAGTAGCTGAAGATGTAGGGAACTTTTAAATTGTCAGCAGTTTGGGGGCTGAGGGTCATCAATTACAAATGGAAACAAAAACAGCAAAACCAGAATATTTCTAAGTAAATGAGCCTGTAGGAATATCCTGGTGGAATAAAGACTATAAAGGACTCCCACACTATTAAAATGTTTTGTAAACTCAATAAAGTGTATACAGTTCACTCTTAATCTTCTCTAACATAATCTCTCACTTCTTGGATGTATGTTTATATCTATCGAACTCAATTTTGTTTCATAGCATAGACATACATTTGTTATTATTTCTTGAAATTGAAAAACAATATTGTAATAATCCCAGGGGGGTAAAAAAAAAAAAAAAAAAGAACCAACAGAGAGGAATATGCTCCGAATAATGTCAGAAGAACATGTTTATGTGAAAATAATACATAACAGTAACAATGATAATGCTGAACATTTGTTTTTTTTAATTAAACTTGTTACTGTTTTGACATATTTTTTAAAAGATTTCAAGTCATTTTAAATCTTGCCAGTGAAATTTCCACTTATACGTGCTCACTTTTTGCCACACTTTAATCCTAAATTATTAAGTAAAGTTCAAAACTGTCAGGGCATGCTGCGATTAAGAAATTTTAAAAGATGTATGCAGAATCAAGTATTGTAAACATTTGACTAATGGATCATATGTGTAGTGGGAAATTCTGAAGATGGTCTAACTAGAAATAGTGATTGAGTAAAGAGATGTAAGAAGGACCTCCATTATATCTTTTTTTTTCCCCTAAAGGAAATTCATCCATCACATGTCCTTATTTGATCTCACAATTTGTTAGCTTTTTATCCAAACACAATGGCATGACAAAATCTTGCTGTGTGGCCTTCGAGTTTTTTGTGGTGGGAAGATTCCTGTACTACAATTCTCTCAGCCTTTTCAATTCTACAGGAGTTTATTCATAATTAAAACAAAATATCCCAGGGCTGATACTTAAGAGTCTACATCATATTTTTAATATATAAGTTTATAAATGGAGCAACTACATTTTTCTTTAATATATTCTTCCACTTCTAACTTAGCTTTCAGTATATTTAACAATAGGGTAAAAATAGTGTTTTGTAACAAATGATTTTCTATCAAATGCATTAGACCTATGAAGAAATGAGTATTGAAGTCGTTCACAAAACACTCACTTGTTATATGTGTTCATCAGAAAGTGACTTGTAAATTTTTTTCGACATATTTAATGTAGCTCATTTATGTAAATGATGTCAATCCACAGCCCAGCTTTTCAGGGTCGGGATACTCTTGTTATAAAGCATGCTTCAGTACTAACACACCACGACTACTCCAAGCAATGGCCATTCATCTCTAGGCAAAAGGCTTCAAGAGAAATTACTGTGAATTCTTGGACTCTGAAAGAATGAGGATGCTTTTTAGAGAATTCTGTCCCCTGGGGGTGAAGGGATCAGTGGGAGACAGCATCATTGGCAAGGACACTAGGTAAAGAATGATGTGTGCTCACAGGCCGGCCTCATTCAAAAGCCATGTTTTCATTAGCACTTTTAAGTGCTGTGATGGTTTGTATTTCTGTCCCTGGAAGTGTTCAAAAGCCTGAGGGTACAGAATGAGAAAAAAAGTGATAGGCTCAAATGGAAGAAAATGAAAAGTTTGTACAGGACCAAAAAAAAATTTCCTATTGAGAGTATTTATTAACTTAACAGCAATTCTTCTTAATAACAGAGTTTATGCAGAAGGTGTCTGGCTATTTAATAAAAGTTATTTCAAGGATTTATTTTATAAATCCAACTAAAAAAAATAATATATTGAAGTCAAAAGTGTGATTCCAGAAGCATTATTGTTCTATAAAGCTTGTATTCACTCAAATGAGAAGTTGAATGGAACAAAATGGAAGTGTTTCATAGAATTCTGTTTTCCTATAACTTACATAAGATGGCAATCTTAAAAAATGAATTGCAGTGTTCTTCAAAACAAATTTTTCACATTTTGGTTTATTTTTTTCTTCTTATCTCATTTATTCTCAAAACCTAATCTAGATAAATGCTGTAGAAAATATTTACTATAGTATTACCATAACCATATTTTCAACTTATTTGATTCCTATAAAGATATATAATTTTACATGTGTGATGTGTTTTCATAAAAATACCAGATCTGATTCTGTTAGTGTTCAAGTTACTCCAGTGATAATGTTACTTTCAACTTCAAAATCAAATTTAATGTACAAAAGCATTTTAATTTCCATGGACCAGGACAACGCAAGGATCTTACTGGGAATAGCGAAAATGGGCAAAGGGATAACCCGTCAATATAAGGAGCAAGCTGCCAAAGAGATCTAACTAAAACCTGGGTAACAGTTCACACTGGGAAAAAAACAAAAAAAAAAACACAAAAACAACCAAAAAACCCCTAATACTGGAAAAATTTGTATCTTTTTTCTTCTTTCACTTTTGGATCTTAAAAATTATTCATGTAAGATAGTGTGAATTTATCCTACCACTTATGAATGATGGACATTAATTTTTACTTCAACATTATATAATTAATTGTTCATACATACACATACATGCCACTTAAGTAAGATAAATATATCTTGCCTTACAAACTCTTCCAACTCGAGAAATGATGGTCTTATCAGAAGTAGTGCCTTCTTGAGATGATTCACGAAAGAAGAAATATATTTTGTCATCATCTGGATTATAGGTGTCTGGTATAGGGAAAGTTCCAATAAATTTTGCTCCTGTTTGAAAGAAAAGAAGCTATAGATAAAAATACTGAGACAATTCAGCCAAGAGAGCATTGGTGTCTTTGAATGTGAAACAGTTATCAGCAGAATAAAAAAAAAAAAAATGAATCATTAATTGAATGTGTGAAATGAGACCTACACAAATAAACATGAGACGATGTAGAAACATGTATTAGCATGCAGAAGTCTCACACAAGTTCAGTCTTCATTATCCCAGCCAGGCTGGGTCAACCAGGGTCTCCTATCCAACTTCTTCTCTGCTTAAATGGGAAACTTTGAGAGGAAACGTGAGGGGGAATTAGGTGCATGAACTTTCTCCCCTTTGTTCTTTATTATTTCCCTGTTCTTTCCCTGAAGTTTAGAACCCCAAAGGATTCTTATGCTCTTGATAATCTCACTCTGATATAGTCCTAGGTTACATAAAAAAAAAAAAAAAATTAGAAAACCATGTAGGGTTTTGGGGCGCCTGGGTGGCTCATTCCGTCAAGCGTCCGACTCTTGATTTTGGCTCATGATCTCAGGGTCCTGTAATTGAGCCCCAAAATGGCCTCTACACTCAGCAGGGAGTCTGCTTAAGGATTCTCTCCCTCTCCCTCTGCCCCTCTTGAGTAGAAGTAGGACACAAAAGGGATAAAACTGAAAATATATATGTTATAGGAATATGATTGGCTTGTTTTATCTTAACAAATATTTGAACTTAAAAAGGGGGTTCACACAAATAGAATTTATCATAACCCTCAAATATAATTTAAATAAAAGTTCTACATGAAGCATGTCACCCTTGTAACATTTAAATCCTATCACTTTAATGATTGAGTTGAATTTATAATTTAAAAAATAACAAACATTGTGGTACAAAATTTAGTCTTCTCTCTCTAGAGAGGACAGGAGAATTCAGTGATGTGAAACTGATAATCATTACAGGTAAAAGGAATTCCAGGGTGAGAGACAGAGTGGCTTGTAAAGCTTTCCTCAGACACTTAGATGGGCGAAGTGGTCAGAGGAGCCAACTGTTAGGTTTTCACTTGTTTACCGAGTTCAACAACAACAAAAAAAAATCAATTTCACGAAAATGCAGAATGTAGATGGTCTGCAAGGAGTCCAAATAAATATGACAATTCCTATTACCCTATTGCAGAAATACACAGAAAAACCTACTTTGGATATTGAAAATACTATCCAAGTGCAGGTATCACCATTTGAAATGGTCAAAGGTAGAATACGACACTAGTCTACATTTCAGGAATTTTATCTATGACATCAGTGGGGGAAAAGAGAGTAGATACTTTCCCAATTTATATTTCTTTCACCTTGTAATTAATATATAACACAGATGATCAACAGATCCTAGATGCTCATAGATGAACAATCACTTATATTCAGGGACTGTTGATTTTACTAGATTCTCTTTTAAATGTTGGTTCTCTTTTAAGTACTATAAGACAACCATTTTGGAGTACTATAAGAAAATTGAATGATAGGGGTTTTTAAGCCAAATGTTTATTATAGGAAGAAATCTAATTATGAAAAATGAGTTAGTATCAAATAGTACTCTATTGTGTGATTTAAATAATAAGCATACTCAAGAGGTAAAGATAAATACATTTCAAGAATACAAAATATCTTCCCTGCAGATTCAACTGAGGTCCTAAGAAAAATATTGATGCTACTATTTTAATATAGAAACTCCTTCCTGAGTTGCTGCCAAGTTTGAGTAAAAATAGTTATCATTTAATCAGTGTATGACATGCACAGTTGTTGCACTAAATAATTTAAGATCATAACAATAGACACCTGGGCTTTATTATAATAGCACATTTTTCTCCTTCAGCATTTAAAAGACATGCTCTAATAGGGATAGAGTTTGAAATCATGCATTTTCACAAATGAGCTATTAGCATGACACTAAGTGGCACTGCCTAATGAAAATGGCATCAACCCACAGAGCCTGCAATATGCATCATGAACCTCTTTGCACCCGGATGAGCACACCTACACCATGATTTAGCAAATAGTTACTTCCTTACTTTCGTTCACTTCTTCTTGTGATATCTTCTCGTTACCACTTTTTAAAAATGTTACCCTTTCGAGTAGAAAGAGAATTTGGAGACAACAGAACTTTCCAAGAGAAACTTCAAATGAAAACTGCCTCCATATGTTAAAAATAAAAATTTAAAACAAAAAGTTCTCATCTACTCCAGGAAAGAAAACAAAAACATACGCATTTGAGGCTTCATTGTTTGTTTTCATTTTCCAAATGGTCATACTTCTAAGCTTTATCCTAAAATTCTCACAAAAACTCAACTGTATTTGAGTAACCACTCTGACTTCTATCTACATTCCTATTTCCTGATAGTTCTAAGATTAAGTTGATAAAGAAAAGTGAAAAAAAGAAGTGTGGAACCATCTAAGACTTCATCCAGAACTGCCCATAGTACTGCATCTTTGCAATTTTTCATCCTCCTGGTGAGGTATTTAACAGATGGATTAGTCTCTCAAAGAAGGAGTTGGGATTCATACTTCTTAAGGCTACTGAACCTGGATTAGATAAAGTCCTGAGAAATTCTGACAAGGATCTTTGGACTTGTAAGTGAAGAGGATAGCTGATCCCGCTCTGGCTAATTCCAGGCAGGGCAAAGAACAAAATATGGCATACACACAAGCATCAAGGAATTTATGGACCTAAAAAAGATTCACATAGGATCATATTTTTTAAAAGGTTAATTATTTAAACACACTCAATTGCAAATTTAATTTAATTCTCGTATTTCACTTATTCTAAATGTAATATCAATTTACATTTGTAAGAGTTTAATCACAAACATGTAAAAAATAGGATTTTAAACTAAAAGTGAAAGTATAGAGAGCAAAATTTAACAGGAAAAAACTTTCAAACTTGTCTAACCAGAAATAAATAACACAGTGATGTTATAATATATAGAAGAAACTGATTAGACATTGACATCGACTCCATCATTTGAAATATCAAATATCTGTCAGTTCTTCCTTTTTTTAAGATTTTATTTATTTATTTGACAGAGAGAGACACAGTGAGAGAGGGAACACAAGCAGGGGGAGTGGGAGAGGGAGAAGCAGGCTTCCCGCTGAGCAGGGAGCCCGATGCGGGGCTTGATCCCAGGACCCTGGGACCATGACCTGAGCCGAAGGCAGACACTTAATGACTGAGCCACCCAGGCGCCCTGTCAGTTCTTTCAACCTGGCAACAATTTTATGAAACCAAGGCATGAGTTTCACATCTAAATGCTAAGTGAACACTAAAAAAAATTTAGACTTGGGTTGCATTATTTGATTGTGAGCTACTGCACATAATTAATAAATAAGTACACTTTAAACCAGCACTGTCTAATAGAAAACCCTGTGATGATGGACATGTTTTATATCTGTGCTGTTCAACAGTCCTTAGCCCATTGGCTAGTGAGCACTTGAACTATGCCCAGTATGACTAAGGAAACAAATTTTAAATGCATTTAATTTTAATAAATTTAAATGTACACGTGGCTAGTGTCTACCATATTAGTGCCGCTTTAGAGCAAATAGCCTATGTCAGTAACTGCTATATCAGGTCCAGTGTTAAGGCAGAAACAGCCTCTATTCCCATAACTGTCACCGAAAGGGCAGTCAAACTTGTGATTCCGGAGATAGGAGACACTATTGCTTTCAGAAGTTTGGTCCTGGAATGGAAGGACGGGCTTGGGGGCTAACAGACCTGGACACACCTTCTTCACGTCGTTGTAATTTATGGAATATGAGGTTGAATAAGATCATGTCTATTATAACCTTATTCACAGTAATCTTCACAGTTCCTCTATCACTGTATTTTGTTTCCCTGCCTTCCTGACTCCAGCCAGATGATCCACTGACCTCTGTCTTTGGACCCCAGGTTGATTCTATCTGGAAAATGGCCACTTCTCAGAATGGAAAACAGAAATGCTCCCGAAGCAAGTCAATCTTTGGCCGTAGCTAATCAAGTACTTCCTCATTACAAGAATCTCATATAGTTTCTATAATTTCTCCCTTGCTGTGCCCCAGTTTCCATGGACTGAGAAGCTCCTCGGCTGAATGGGTCTCCTGAAGCATCGTGTTCTTCTAATTCTGGCCTACCTGTCCATCAGCAAACATCTTATCTGATGATCGCACTAACCCTGACTTCAGAGATTCTGCCGAGGTCTTCCACATCACTTACCTAACCACACGTTCTCTCTCTGCTCTAGTGCCTATGACCAAACCCACATCCTCAGTTTGCTATTGCACAACATAGCATGTAGGCATGGCCTCTGTCTGTAAATGAGGCTCCAAAAGCAGGGAATGTGCAGTCAGAAGAGCAGAATTTAGGTGGATCATAAAATACATTATGAATGTCAAGAAAAAAGTGTCTCGAGCAAGAAAGACATCCCTGAGTTTCAGTCTCCCATCTACTAGCTATCTATGAACAATATATCTGACTTCTAATCTAGCCCCCAATGTAAAGTGGGAATAGTAATTCTCTCAGGATTATATCATTAAATAAAATAATACTTTAAAAGTGCCTAAAATAGTGACGCGCGTGGATGCTATATAAAATAAATTTGAAGCAGAAGAGATTAGCGATAGGAAAATGAATTAACAAACAATAAAATAGTGGCAAGAACCCAGAGATCAAGTGCTGAAGACCTATAGAAAGATGGCCATGGAAACAACAAGGTCGATAGATATTTTGACGGAAGTAAAGGCCCCGAGTGACAGATAAGATAAAGGGTGGGGGAGAGGAAGGAATCCAAGATAACTTCAAGGTAACTGGGTGGATAATGTTTAGAAAGTTAAGATAGATAGAACTCAGGAAACTGGTATTGAAGGGCAGGTTAGAAAGGGAAAACAAGATAATTTTAGATTTTAGATCCAATTAGTCTTTTATATATCTCTATCTGTAGCTGCATATACTTAAAGAAACTCAAGCAAAGGATCACGACTTAAACAACTTGTAAAAGAAATCAAAGCACTTAGTGGCACAATCAGGGTGAAGGCTTAGATATCTTTATTTGCATATAAAACAATCAGCTTCTTTCTTGTAATCTGGGATGAAAATGTAAGACACCCAAATAACTATTCTTAAGGGCTCTGAGTGGCAGAAAAAAAGGCTTGGAAATGTAGTTTCGGGAAATACTGGAGCACAGGAAACAGTTGGAAATCTGAGAGTGGATGAGCTCATAGAATTATGAAATGCAGAGAGAAAGAAAAGGTGGTCAATAGTTACAAATGCTAAATAGATGTCAGTGAACCACAGAGCCTTTGGTGTTTTAGTCCCACCTCCTGCCTTTTTCACCTTCAAGAATAAGGACAATGATGTGATGACAGCATTGACAACTGAACTGCTCTTAAAACTGTCTTCCGTCAGTCTTCCCAATATGATCTTCCCTATATGATCTCATTTAATCCTTAGAACACCCTGCGAATAAATAACTATTATTATGCCGAATCTTTGACAAAAAAATGTAGACACACAGAAAGGTTTGACCAAGGTCACAAATAAGTGATATTCAGGATTTAAACCTACATAATTAAATTCCATAGAAACAGAGCTGTGATTCTTGTCTAAACTAGGACACATTTGAGAGGTACAGAACATTAGAGGTAGACTGGAAATGTCCAGGGCAAACCGGGTTTTATGGTCCCCTGGCCATTAATCAATAAGCATTCTGCCTTGAATGTCTTAGAACCATAAATATTAGTCCTAATTCATAGTCATTTGTCTGCATTCAGTCCATTGAGACTTTTCAACTGCGTATCCTTTCTCCTTTCTTCCTTTCCACTGACTTCTTTAATCACAAGGTTTTCTCAGTATCTAAAACCTTCTCTTGAATTCCATCCTCAGATCCTTGGATTCTTCCATTCCCAAATATCTTCTATTTCAAATATTTGTTACTCTATATTCTCACATCCATCTCAGCTGCCAATACCTCTGTTCTTGTCCCACATTTTCCTGATTCCTTGCTATGGTTTCTTTCTCTAGCCTCATTCTCTTTTAGTCTTCTCTTCATACTACTGTCAGTTACTTTATAAAAAACAAAGATCCGATTCCCTAAGTAAGACCAGGTTATGGATGAAGGGGGTGAAAAGACACAAACTTCCAGTTATAAAATAAGTTAAGTCCTGGGGATGTAAATGTACAGCATGGTGACTACAGTTAATATACTGTATGGCACATTTGAAAGTTGCTAAGAGTAAATCTTAGAAGTTCTCATCACACACATAAAAATACTTCCAATTGTACAGTGACGGATGTTAACTAGACTTGTTATGATCATTTTGCAATATATACAAATATTGAATCATGATATTATACCCTTGAAACTAATATAATGTTATGTGTCATTATACCTAAAGAAAAAAAAAAGAACTAAACCATAGTTAACTTCCCTGTGATGTCAGGATAATATTTATAGCTTTCCAGCCCCAACTCCCACTCTCTTCTAATGCTTCCGGTAGTCATCCCTGAGGTCAGTAACCCTCCCATGTAATCTTTGCAAGCCCATGAGTAGAACAGCATTCAGTATGCCAAGGGTCCTCAAAAGTTGTTATTAAATGTTAAACCAATGCAAGGCTTCCTACTTTGTAATTCTCTTCACACAGCATTTAAGAAAAACATGCTAGTCAAATAATAGTTGAATAAAGATTTCCTACATTTATTAATTCAGCAATGAGGCAGACTTCTTAATGGACATGTCATTGTTAAGGAATAAATAGAATAATCTCCGAAAAGAGTGGCGATATGATGACATTTGCCATCCCAAGATTAAGAAATACAATCTATACTTCATTTTAAAGCCGTAAGTATATCTTGCTACCCAAACAGATGGGTAAGTTTTTCTATTTGGTAAAATCCATGGACTCACTCTCAAACCAAGTATTTCCACAAAAACCTCACAATGCTCAAGAAGATAGTCTTGCCTTGTCTGAGTGTAGAGAAATTAATGAGTAATCACATAGTTGGGAGATCTTCTAAGTTTGTCTTCCCCGTTAATAGGCTCTCTTTTGGTCAAGGGAGATCCCATTGTTGTGTAAACAAATGGATCTGGAGGTTCTGACTAAAGAAATGTTTTAAAGCATTTTTCCCTTTTGTTTATGTTGTCACTGCTTGAATGATACTGAGAGATAGAGAGATAGCCCCTAGGAAACGTCTACCCAGGCCTCCTCCACTAAAACCCAGTATTTATGGTGGGAAAGAGAAATGTTGTTTGTCTGCTTAAGTGGCAATGTTATGTTATTCTGCCACACTTTATAATAAAGTCCTATGATAATTAGAAAACATTAGACTATCATGATAAAACCTGATCTGCTATAAGGCAGGAGAACATAAACAAACAAATTAATTAATTGATCAATTAATTCATTAGTGGCTTTTTTTAAAACTCAGAATACTGTAACACCTCCAAACAAAAAAGTAATCAGATAAACTTATGTCAATATTAATATGCTTAAAATTTTAGAAGGACATGTCAACCCAAGTATAAATAACCCTTTAACAAAAGAAGTTAGCATTACAACCTATCCCGCTTGTTATTAGGCTCATAGACAGTATTTGGCTTAGTCATTAAAAAACAGACTTCAGGAGAAAGATTGCCGACTTGAACCCCAGGGTCTACAACTGACAAGTTATAAGAACTTGACCAAATTTCTCAACTTCATTCTATCTGTTTACTCATCTTAAAAAGGCACACAATAATAATAATAATGCATACCTCATATGTCATTGTGAACATTTAAAAGATCAGTTAGAGCATGGAACAGTGTCAAGGGCAATAGCACACTTCCAGTAAGTGTCAGCTATTATTATTTTATACACAACAGGTTCTGGAGATTTGTCTTAGTGGGGAAGTAATCAAATGTATTTTATAATGTTAAGCTAAACCACTTATTCCCAAACACATTTGAATGAGTAATAATGAGTTTCTTATCTGCCCAAAAGCCAAGGCAAAAAAACGAAAAGAGAAAATCACTAACCATTGAGCCAGTAGTGTTCCGAAATGTCGGTTCTGATGTAATGATGGTCATGAGTAGGCCCAAGGGACCGCGTGAATGCCGTGTCTTTGCCAAGGAAATCAGACGCTGTTCCAGAATAGAGGTACTCATCTGAGAGGGGGAAGACAATACACAGGACTTCTAAGAATACAGCAGCAGATACTATTTGCAATATACTAATTTCATTGCATGAAACCAAAGACATTTCTTGCTTAACATGAGAAGATACTGTTTCATAAATTTCACATTCAAATTTTGAAAAATTTGTAGAGTCAAAGAAAGATAACCCAATGAACTTTGGTACGCTGGTGCTAAAGACCTGAAGATAAAAATGGCCAAAGTCTTCTGAATTCATAATTGCGTATGCATTAGCTTCTCTTATGAATAAGCTCTTCCTCCTTTCCCCTCTCCCCACAAATAACTCACGGATACATCATAATTAGGAATTTGTCTTCGTAGCAGCACAAAAAATACTAAAAAGTAAATGCCATAATGAGGAATGGATTGTGTAATTAGTATTTACTTAACCGACACAACCTCAATGACCACAACTTTTCTCTGCCTAACCTCTGCTGAAAGGGAGCTTTCGGCACTGAAGTCATTCTTCGTAATTATAACATGTTGCATTCCTTGTAGCTAATCACATCTCTAATGGTTCTGATAAACAGGAATTCCTGAAAAGGGAAAGATGTGGCTATCACTGCATACTGAACTTCTTTGTCCTGTTATTTATGTAAAATGCATCTCCATGTTTTACCAGAAAGAGAGAAGTGGTGGGGGGGGGGCACAAGGGGGGGATCCGGCAGAAGAGAAAGGAGAGGAGAAAGGGAGGGTGGTGTAAGAAGGGAAAGAGAAGTTTGAGAGGAAGGGGAGGGAGAAGGAAGAGATCAGTGAAGAAGGGGAAGACAAAGGATTGGGGGAGAGAAAGGGGAGTGGGGGCCAGTGTTCCCTAACGCTAGTCAGCGCTTAGAGGGGGGAGAGACGAGAATGCGGTCCCTACAGTAGAATATATTGCCCCTTTGAAAGCTAAGCCTCTATTTCAAGTAATCTTTACAGTCAATAATGTTGAGTACACCTAATAGACCAAAATAAAAAAAGAAAAGGCTAATCTCTATAGAGCATTTAGATTTTTAAATGGCTAAGATCAGTGAAAGACACATTTTATCACTAAAATCCAATTTTCCTCAGAAACATTACCTTTAAAAATTCTGACTTTCTATAAGTGATAGAAATACTTCCTAAATCCTCTGATTACATCCATCTAAATAACCTTTTACTGAACTATTTGAGTCAACCAATCTAAATAATGACAAGAGTCAATTTCCAAAGGAAAACAAAACAAAACACAAGAGAGAAATCCAGTTAGGTAAAGTAAATGTAGATATGACACCACTTCCTTCTCTTAAAGCAATCCCCTAAGATAAATGGTAAACGACAATATTTCATTTGTGGAGCAAATTTTTAAAAAACAGAAGAAAAATAACAACATAAATAAAGACTCTTGCTTGGTAAGAGTAAAGAAAACAAACTGTTCGTGTGAAACATAAAAAAAACACTGTGGATAATTGAACATATTGTTAAGAAAAAAAAAGGTGTGTTTCAACCTAAAAACTGTATCTGTATATCCAGGGTTTAAAACTGTCTTCTTTGTATTTAAATCACTTAGGGATTTGTAAGAGGGGTCACCGATGTCCACAGTCCATTGTTTTTATTAAGGATATGTCAACCCCACTTGACAGATCAGAATCCCAAATCATCTATCTCCCTTTCTGAGGATAAAGACTGAACATCAGTCATACAATTTTCAAAACACACAAAAACGTGCACACTTTCACTTCAAAGGAAGATCACTAGTTCTCACTAAGTGAAAATTAAAATGTCATGGTGCTTCACTCTTATCGTCTATTCAAACATTTGATAGACAAGTTCAATAAAAAGAGAGTAAAGTCATGAACCAAACCAAGACAAAAGGGGCCCTTATAATGGTTAAAATTCAGAGGTCATGGCAACATTCCTCAGAACAGACTTCAGACCACACAGCACTGCCTTCTTTAAACAGGATAATCACCTCACAAGTGAATTTAAGATGTAGACAAAGCAAGAGAAGACTGAATGTGCTAGCAAAAAATTCACATTTCCATTACTACAATCAGGTTAATGTGAAATTGAGGGGAAAAGGTGTTATAAAATTCTATTATCCGTATTCTATGTTATCTGTATTCTATCATTTGTTTTATTAGTTTATCCACTACATCTTACTATTAATCCTTCCACTCAAATCTTCAATATATTTTGTAACTTATTATGTTTAAGGAATTGCTAAATTTAACTTCCGTAGTAAGCCAAATAGGGACATGGCTTAGCATAAGAAAATCTGAGAAATCTAAATATGAAATTATAGAACAAGTAAGTATGTGTCATTTGCATTAAAAATAATTCAACCAGAAGTTCATTTAAAAACTGTGTAGAGGGGCACCTGGGTGGCTCAAGTCGGTTAAGCAACTGCCTTCGGCTCAGGTCATGATCTTGGGGTCCTGGGATCACCCCAGGCTGGCTCCCCGCTCATCGGGGAGTCTGCTTGTCCTTCTCCCTCTGCCCTTTCCCCTCCTTGTGCTCTCACTCTCTCTTTCTCAGATTAAAAAAAAACAAAAAACAAAAACTGTGTAGAAATGAAGGATTTGCTTGGGCTTCCCCTGATGATAAGGATGCTAAATATAGAGATTTGGCACTAAAATACTATAATCAAATAGCCAGTGAAAGAGTAATCCCAAATAATCTTGAACTCAATAAGAAAATGTGGTTGAGTCTACACATACCTTTTCAGAAAACCACCTAAAAGCAAAGCCATTGATCTTACCTGTCATTACTGAGGCAAAAGGCTGCTGAGGGTCAAAAGGACATTTCAGTCTGCCAGACTCCAAGTTATGTGTGTCTAGTTTGAATACAACTTCCTGTTAGGAGAGATATTAACATAAGTGAGATTTTTTTTAAAAACAGCACAATCAGCAAGGAGCTAGGAGATAAGAACTAAATTCTAACTCATTAATTCAACAAAAACTGATTGAGCATATAGCATGTGCATCATGCTGTGCTCCTTAACTCTTTAGCAAATATTATTTCTGGCAAGGCTCAATTCCCATGTTTTGGTCTGTGTTTGCCCAAAGTAGTAATGATAATACTGAATGAATTCTTCAATTGGAAGTAGTGATATAACCATCAATTCACTAAGTCTGGACCACTCTCATTATCAAAATCACCATCAAGCACACACATTTCTTAAGGCTAATAACAAATTTATTGAGCCTAATAAGCTAATTTCTTCATCTAAGAAATGAATTTATGGGGCACCTGGCTGGCTCAGTTCATTGACCATGTGACTGTTGATCTCAGGTTCATGAGTTTGAGCCCCACGATGCTTAAAAAAAAAAAAAAAAGAAATGAATTTACTAAAATAATCATACTTTCATTACTATTGTGGTTTATTTACTCACACATCTTCAACTAAACCAAAATAGGCCTTGTGACACTTTGTGATTTTAGAGACATAATAGCGTGCTAAGGCAGGCAGTCCATTTACAGAGCTGTTGATACATGTGGGCAAAAAAAACCCCAAAAACAAACAAAAAAAAAAACCCAACAACCAAAAGAAACCCTGTTGTAGTATTTTCACTATTATGAAAACACTATGCACATTAAAACCACATAGTTATTTTGGCTGAAATATCTATTTTTATAATAGTGGCCACAGACAGAATGACATTGGCAGACTTTTAATATTCAGGAAAGAAATAACATCTTAAGTTGAACTTTCCAAGAAAAATAGGAATGTATAATGAATATGGCCCCATGAGTTTGAGTGTTTCATAACAATGACAACACTACCATCCAGCAGAAAGGCTGATGACTCGCCCTGCATATGCACTAGTTAGAGAAATCTAGCATTTCAGACATTTTCTCTAGATGGTGTATCTACCAAGTTGCATCAGAACACATGAATATTAAGAAAGGAACATTCAGGGCTACTTATCTAGAAAGTAAGCAATGAAGCAAAAGGGATAGAGGCAACTGGATTGTTTGTTGTACTGTGTTGTCATTTCAGATTTGTTTCTTCTGAACACAACCAATAGTAATGACCACCTTATTAAAAAAAAATAGTGGTAGCAATTTAAATAGCATGATTGACAATGGCTATTTCATAGTTTTAAGTAAATGAACTTTTATGCTAACAGGAATAGTCCCTGCCATTAATAGGTACTAACTGTAGGCCCAGGAAATTTATGTACATTGTCTCATTGAATCCTCACCGTAAGCCTAAAGCTATAGCTGCTTTAAGAATTCCAGCTTCACAAGTGAAATATTGAGGACAGAAGGGGATAACTATCTTGTTCAGCAGCACATAGCTAGTAAGACGCAAAGCAGTAGCTTGAACTCTCAGGGCTGTCCCCAAAGTTCATGCTGTTAACTAATCTCACCTCAGAATTTCAAACTCATGGATTTAAAAATGTGTTAAAATCAATTTATAGACTCACCATGACCATGTAATATGATCAAATCCAAGTATGTTTAGTTGGAACAGGCCAGCTAATGACAAGCTGTGATAGGGGAACCTTGGCATGGAAAAGGTGCAGTGAGAACCCATTTAGGGCATGCTTCCCAACTGTGAATGGGGCTACAGAGATGTCAGGGAAAAAAAAAAAGCACCTGTAGAGAGTGGCACTCATGTGTGTTTAAGTATCATTAAGGGCACATTATTTTCCACAGGTCAAACAGAACTGTTGACTCTAAGGCCTATAATAGGATATTGTAATGGGAAAAAGTAAACTGAATCCCAGAAGATTACAGTAAAAAGTTAAAAAGGAAAGATCAAGAAAATAGGAGAGTGTCACAGTTGATGAAAAGTACTAGATAAACCCTCCTAATTGTACAGACTTCTGTTTTTAAGATGCAACATTTCATTACATTCTCAAGATAAGCCCATAACATTGATATCTTGAAGGCTTAGGACAAGGTCTCTCCTATAATCTCCTGGAGAAAGGAATTATCAGGAAAGAGAGTTTCCTTAAGCCAGAGTTAAGGACACCAAGAGGAATATTTTGTAAAAAATAATGGTTGACTGAGTGGACTTTGGGAGATAAACCGACTGAATTACAGGACACTAACTTTTGAGACAACTTCAGTTTTATAAGAAAATTCCTTCAGCGTAATTAAGTAAGCAAAACATACCAACGTATATTGTTGGAGTAAAGAGATGAGCATGATAGGAAAACATTTAGTCATCAGGGCAACTAGGCAGAGTTATTGTTAATACCACCCCCATTTAGAGATGAGATTTCTGGCAGCAGAGGGGAGATCCCAGAGGAAGAACATCCTTCCAGTGTAATTACTAAACAAATAACAGGCATTGCTAGTATCACAGCATAAATGTATATATATACACACACCCAGAATATATGTATACATACACACACACAAACACATCTATACATACACACACGCATATACACACACATTTATACATACACATACATGCATACACACATTGCAGACATTATTTTTCCATGAAGTTTACATACACACTTTCCAAATCCTTGCCTTGCTGCCTTTCGTGTTCCTATTGCCTAGTACAGCTGAGTCGTAAGTGGTAAGTGACTGGAATGAAGCATGGGCTCTGCCAAAGCCCATACAAGCATTTTCTCATTTTATCCTTCAAATAACTCTGGGAGATAGCTACTATTATTATCATCCTCATTTTGCTGAATAAACAGAAGCTTCGAGAGTTTATGCAGGGTGCATAAGACTATGGAGCTGGTAAATGACTGAAGCCATAATTCAAACTCTGGCTGCCCAGGCTCCAACGATTAGCTGTTGACAACTGCCCTGACTCCTGTCCTGAAATCCGGATCCAACCGCCTGTTTGGCATGACCTAACCGAACATTTTGCAAATGCAGAACGTACAAGACTCACTCACCGTTTCCCTCGCAAACTTGTTACGACTCTCACCTCAGTAACACCATTCTCTAACTCACTGCCAAGGACAGAAATCTGGGATTCATTTGAGCTTTTTTCCTCTTTCTTCTCACTGTCCCAGGATTCCCCAGGAAGGGGACTTCCCACACTTCCCTTCTGCGTCCCTCTTACATATTGCCAGTCCCTCTTTCCAGCCCCATCAGGAGAAACCTTATCTATTTGAAAATGGAAGAGGCTTCTAAATTCCCTCTGGAAGAGCAATGAATTCCTGGGAAAAAGTTAACAATCTTCAAGCAGTGTTGCCATACAATTACCTGTATTCCTGACCAGTGGAAAAATCACCAGGCTCACCTCCCAGCTCACCCATAATTCTCTGAGTCACAGACCTTATAAATCTGACTGTCCCAGGCCCTCTTGACAGCCCCAAGCTAAGTAATTAGCTCCATCTAAATTCCCTTTCAGCACTTGTGACTTTTAGGAGTTAAAGAACACTATTTGCACCCCTCAGCAAGTTGTGAGTTTGGCCTTCAGCCTCAGGCCTCAAAACACAACCAAGCTGTGGGGCTATCTAATATAATTACACCCTATGCTATGAGCTACTGTTATATATTACCCTTCATCAAAGCTAGGCAAGAGAACATTACACCAGCAACAAAGAATGATGGATTCAAGTTGCCAAGTCTCCTGGTGGTTCGGAGATTTAACTATGAGGGTTGCTTTATTTTCAAACAGTTGAGAATGGGCTGGTTAGACAAGTTGGTTAGAGAGGAAAATTAATCCAGCCACAGCTGTGGGTTTGATCTCTGCATGAATCAGTTAAATCAATGTAAAGAAACCTGTTCCATAAGCCCAGACTTTACTTTCAAACACACAGCGAATTATCCTGCAAATATGTGTGGTTATTCACAAGTAGTATATACATAAACATAAGGATGACAGTACAACCCATCAAACCCATACAAAGAAACAATTTAGAGTATGTACTCTAAAGCTCAGTTGGGCATGCTTGCTCTAGAGACAGACTGCTTTGGCTCAATTCCTTGCCAGACCACTTATTAGCTGGGTGATTTTAGGCATGTTATTTAATTCCACTGAGACTCAATTTTTACTAACTTGTAAGTTGGGACTTATAAAGGTACTAACTTCAATTAAGAGCATTGTGAAATTTCAGAGACAATCCATGTAAAGTGCCTGGCATAGTCCATGATACAAAGAAAGCACTTTAATGTATCAGTTATTAATTAAATTACAGAATTCTGCATGTTTCTCATTTATTAAAATGTTCATTGATAGCTGGAATATATTACTCTTAATTTAGTACATCTTTATTTGCACTATGGCAATTTGGCCCAGCAGAAATAATGAATTCAGTGTGCTAATGACTATGTATATAATTTTAAGAAAAAAAATAAAATTCTCTGTACTTAATGTGCACCACTGTACTTAGTGTGTAACCGTATATAACAGGTCAAATTTGCTGGATGGGAAAAATGAAATTATTTATAAGATACAATTCCACTGCAAGGTCACATGGGATGTGGATTTTTACTAACAGCAACTAATACAGATCTAATTACAATGGAAACTCAAAAGAAAATAAGAACATACATAGAGTCTATAGAAAACAAACACTTTCAACATTTTACACTTTTAATTTTGATCATCTCATTAAAAAAACTTCTAATAAAAAAACTTTTTATTGGGTAGATAAAGTGTGTAATCAAAATGGCAATCTATAAGGTGGTTGGGAACATGAGTTCTTATGTGATTCATAAACTATATGGTTCAAACTTTATATTCAAATCTGCCTGTTTTATGTCAAAGACATTAAGTGACAAGATATTACAACTAATTGTTTTCATGCAATTTCATTATATTACCTCCTTGTAGACTCCAAGATCAATATAACCACATATTGGATGAAATGCTCCAGTTCCACACACATAAATGTGAGTTTTGTTATAGGGTTGAAGTACGCGGATGAAATTTGCACATTCTGTCTATTGGACATAAAAAAAAATAAAAGCATTAGCACACAATTCATGTTGTTGAAAGATTATCATTCATACCACCTGTTTTCCAAGGAGATAAATCATCAAGAAAAACAGCAAAAATGAAAACGATTCATGAGACATGCTTAAACATCTGACTTAGCAAAGGAGGCAAAACAAACTAGAAACTTGGCTTAAATGAGTGATTGAAGCTTTTTTGAAGTTTTACAGGTGTTGAACTAATCAGAATGCTAGAGTGCATATCTCTATAGGTATTCAGCACGGCCTAGAGAATGGATATCAACAGAATGAGATATCCATACCTTCTTTCAGGAATTACCTAAGAACAAAACCTGTCATGTTTTGATGTTCCCACATTGTCTATCACATTATAGATCCACTGTTGACAACATCAACTGTCTCAACTGAACAAAACATGAACACACTTGTGTATAACCATATATGTATTCCATTTTTATTGGATGGAATGCACTACCACTTTATTCCCATCTATTTTTAATGTTACAGAGCCTTTAAAACTCAACTTAATTTCTCTTTATTCCAAGAATCTCTTCTTTCCCCATTTTCTAGCACCAAGTCAAATTTTTGAAGAGATTTTTATATTTCTGCTTGTTTTGCATGTGCTTGGTCCTAAAGATATTTCTTTGCATTATTATCATTATAACATATATTATCTATCCCCTAGTTAGTTATAAGTAGTGACTCTTAATTTTTCAGAGTAGTCATTCCTGTTATTATACATTATTTTTGATTTATCTCCCATAAGTAATTCCTTATCTTTACCTGATTATTGGCTTCATGGTTCCTGGACCCCAAAATCCCTGAGAAAACACTGGGCTGGAGTATACTTTTATTCTGTATTGACTTTATCTAGGAGATGGGGAAGTGTTCACCAAGAAAGGTATAAACCTATGAAACCACTGGGATTCATAGAAAAAGTCTAGCTCTTCCCTACCTGAATGGCCATGCGTTCCTCACCAGTCAGATGTTGACTTAATGGGTCACTCTTGTTGTAAGAGTTGTTAAGAAGGAATATATTACAAAAGAACCCAAAAGACAAAAAACAATGACCTAACTGGTAGAGTGGTTTTAAGAATTAAATACAATTTTCAGAAAGCAGACAGCAACTTAACTGACAGGATTAAGTTAAATAATATAATATTAATAATTATTATTTACCCTGATTTGGATCTATATAAAATATCAATATCCCAGTGGCTAGTCGGATTTTAGAGTGAAAAGCTATACCTGCATAACTGTGGTAAAGAGTTCCTAGTCTCTAGTACTTCCCTTGGCCAGCTAGCCTTGCAATTTTATGTCTCAAGAATTCATAGATCCCAATTAATAAAATGTGTACATTCTACCACAGAAGAATGTTACAATGAACTCATCGAATCTTCTGTTCTCTGCTCTGTATAAACAAAGCAGTTGCTTCAGATTGTATGAAAGGACAGCCTCATTACTGGTCTCTCAGAGAGCTACACAAGGAAAAGATGTTTCTTCATCAGGTAGGCAGACTTAGCACTCTCTAATAAGGGCACTGCTTGTACTTACTTAGGTTGTATGCTGCGGGAAAAAAAGGCACATCTAAGGATGTGCAAATTACACTACAGACATCTTTATTATCCTGAATATTTTCATATATTTTGTATATGTTCTCAAACATTCATTATATGCAGTCTCTTAAGAAAGGAACACTTTAAATTCACTAAGACAGTTTTCTGGCAAATAGTCTTGTTTAACAAAAACATATTATGTCAGTTTTCCACCTTTCTGTCAAGGTGTCTGATGGAGAGAAATTATTTTCTATTTGCACAAAGACACCATAGAGGACTAGCTTCATATTCTTTAACATCATGTTAGGCAATCTCAGATGAAAATCTAATTCAGACAGTACATATGTCATACTAATGATTTTGAACAAATAATAGAGACACCATAATATGAGAAAAGCCAAGGCAAAAAGTTTAAAAATGTCTGTGATCACCAGATAAACTGCAATGATGGCTTCATCACTAGAATGAGAGGTTTTAATATTCTCCAGCTTTTATTTTACTCACTCATGCTCACTGAAGGGACTTTTATTTCTTGGTCTTTCCCCCCACCAAGAGCTTTATACAAGGGTGAGATCTATACCAGGAACAGTACACAGGGAGGGGAAGAGTAGAATTACATTGCTGGAGTGAGGACGGACTGACTCGCTGCCCATTATTTCATCATTTTTTAAAAAGCTGTTTTAACAAATAGTCATAGAATTTAGAGGGTAATTGTTATGAACGAGTACTTGTGTCCTCTAAAATTCATTGGTTGAAACCCTAACCCCTCGCCCCCCCCAGAGGGATGGTAATAGGAGGTGGGGCCTTTGGAGGTAATTAGCTTTAGAAAAGATCCTGAGATTGGGATCATCATGATGGGAACAGACAGAACTCTCTTTCTCCCTCTCTCCCCCTCTCTGTCTTTCTCTCTCTCTCTCTCTCCCTCTCTCTCTCTCTCTCTCTCTGCCATGTGAAGATACAACAGGATGATGGCCATCTGCAAGCCAGGTAGAGAATTTTCATCAAGCACCAAATCTACCAGCACTTTGATCTTGAACTTCTCAGCCTTCAGTACTGTGAGAGATAAATGTCTGTTGTTTAATGTCTGTAGTTTATGACACTTTGTTACAGTAGCCCACGCTGACTATGACAGCAATTTTACAAGATTCTGAAATAAATATTTGTATAAAGAAATAAAACAACTTCCTTTCCAGATTATAAATTATGGAGTCAGAAAGATGAAGGACTATGAGAGACACAGCACTGTTTTTAAAACGGCTAATAAGGCCCAGGGTGAAATTTTATACACAGAGGAGATATAATGTTACTGATTATAAAGAAAAAGCTCTGAATCACACCTAAAATATTTCACATCCTTTAACTTTTCTAGGAGTACCTTATTAAAATGCAGCCAGCCCTGGAAAGTAATTTATTACGCTAGTTTTCTGACTTGGTGAGATATTCACAAGGATTTATGAAATTCCTCCATCTCCCAGATTGGGGTGACATGGAATAGAACAATTTATGGGTGAGTCCCGAATTGTCTGACACTTTACAAAAAAGTCAGTTCTGCTCAAAATGTTCTGTAATGAAGTTGATAGAGGGTAGTTCTCAAAGCAGCCTGGAGGCAAGGAAAAGGTATTGGTTGCCTGACGAATGAGATACCTCGGAACAGAGATCCTACAAGATCAAGTTTGGCTTAAATAGCAGGAGCAATGATTAACTTGATTTAATTCACTTAGTGATCTGCATGGCTATTCACAGTAGTGTAATTCTGTGAGGTGTGAAAAAAGATAATTTTGAGAAGCAGCTTTTTTAACTTTCCCTGAAAGCTGGCTTCTTTGTTAGCTATTCCCCACAACTGCAAGTGTGGTTGTATGTGAGCCAACATTTCAATTTAGTGAGTAACAGGCTCAACTTTGGAAAAATAGGAATTTCTCCTTCTTTCCTTATTCTTCCCACCTACTCCCTTCCCCACCTACCAACATTCCCATTGGAAGAAAGAGAGAAGGAGAAAATTTAGAACTAGTATCAACTTTTTAATTCTTTCAAGTAATGCTTCAATATTTTACCCATACATTTATACACTATATGTAATTAAATAAATAAGACAGATGTAAAACTGAATTAATACTTGGAAGAAAAGGCTAATATATGTTTGTATTATGTATTAAAACTTGGAATTCTAGTTTCAACCTAGATATGTGAAAAAAAAAAGCAACACAGAAATACAACACAGAAATTCTCTAGACTTATATATAGTCCAATTAAATCTAATACAGCTTTATATATATTTCTGATAACTTATAATTGCTAATTTTAATTTATTTAGGTTATATATGGAGAGACACTCATGATTTTAGAAATATAGTTTGTTTTTATTTTTAGTATATTTTGTAGAATAGAATGATCATCAAACATTTTTGGTCATCACCACAGACTTTTCACAGTGCTACAGTGCTAACAGACCTCAGAATAGAATCCAGTCTACAGGGTGTCTGAGTGGCTCAGTTGGTTAAAGGGCCCACTCTTGATTTAGGCTAAGGTCATGATCTCAGTATCCTGGGATCAAGTCCAGCTTTGCTCTGTGATCAGCGAGGAGTCTGCTGGAAGATTCTCTCTCTCCCTATCCCTCTGCCCCTCCCTTGCTCACACACACATGCATTCTCTCTCTCAAAAAGAGATAAATCTTAAAAAAAAAATTCCAGTCTACACAGGTATCTGCTTAGGTCTTAGTGTTGAAAATATTTTAATGAGTTGTCCATACTTCAAAATAAGTACATGATAATCCCCACATTACATTTCTCTCTTAAAAATGGAAGATCTAAAGTAGAAATTTCTACAGAGCAAAAACTAGCTGTCATGGCAAGACAGAGGAAAATATTTTAAAGAAAAAAAAGAGAAGTATGCCTATTTAAATATGTAAAAGTGTATATATCAAATAACTGGGAAAAATATTTTTAAGTAAGTTGATCACAAAGTAATAATGTATTTTATACACATATATATCTTATATCTTATAATATGTATAAGATATAATATATCTTATATATATCTTAAAATATGTATACTAATATGATATTTTATATATATATATATACTAATATCATATTAGTATATATAAGATATATATATATATATATATATATATCTTGAAAATCTGTAAATAACCAGTTAGGAAAAGGCAAACACTAAAATTTAAAATTATAAATAATAGGGATATGATATTCCAAAAAATAAGCCCTAATTTTACAACTACATAAAATATTTAGTATTTATAGTAATGAAAGAATTTCAGGCAAAAATAACAAAAATAATTTTCATTTTGTTGGCAAAGATTAAATACATTTATTTTATTCATTTATGTATTAGCATTAAATATTAACCATATGTTGTACCCACTATTATTAGCAAGAGTATGGCAAAATATACCCTCTCATGAACATGCACTGCTGGTTAAACACAGAAAGCATAAACTTACTGGAGGGTAGTTTTGCAATGTGTATAAAAAAATTTATGTCCAAAAAACCCCCCCAAAATTATATCCTTGACCAGTAATTCTACTCAATAATCAAAGATGTTCACAGTATTTACATATAAGATTTTTCATGTGAAGCATCACTTATAATAGCTAAAACCTGGATATAAACCAAATTTCTAACAATAGAGGATTGATGAAATAATATATAAAGGAATGCAGTGTGGCTATTAAAAGTAGTGTTATAAAAAGGAATTTAATGACATGGGAAAATGCTCATGGCAGTTTGCAAAATGAAAAAAAATGTTTTAGGGGACTATGTATACAATGATTTCATTCTGAAAAATAGTAAATAGATAAGATAGAAGAATAAACATCAAAATGTCACCAGCTATCTCTGGGTAATGTTCATGGGGGAGGAGATATTTACAGATGACTTCCATGTAATTTGCAAACTTTCTACAATGAGCACTTTGTTTTGCTTTTAGACGTTCTTTAAAAAAGAAGAAAGAAAGAATGTAATCATAGAACTTGGGCGATGGAAGATCCTTGAAGTCTACGTCATGTCTCCATTGACAAGGTTGTGTGCCTCTAGGGTTAAGATGACAAACACAACCCAGGCTGCCCACATCCTGTGCGTTCTTTTGCCTGGACTGAGCTGCTGTCTCCACTCTTTATAGTCAGGACTAAGGACACTTCTTTAGTGACTTTCTTTGAATAATATTCTAAGCAGAAACAAAGTACTATGAAATAGCTTCCTGTCACTATTTCCTTTCTTTGGACTAAACTGGAGACTGTGGTCAAAAAAGGGGAATAGTTCTCCTTTGTTTCCTCATCTTCCACTCCCTCTCCACCCCAATTAGCTAACTTTCATTATGGTAAATAATTCACTATTTTTCAGTTATATAGTACCTTTGTGTAAAGGGACAGTCTTTCCAAACACTTGTTAATCCTAAAAACACTCTTGGGAAGTAGGTAAAAATTACTAGAGAGAAGGGAGGAGAGAGGGGAATGCCAAAGGTAATAAAAGAGGTCAATAAAAGCACACACTTGTCTTAGTTTTCTGTCGGCTGAAGTCTATGCAACGCTGTAAACTGAGGATCTCTATTATGAGGATAGTGTAGAGAGAAGTGATTTGAGGGGGACAATTTGAGGGATAAGGTTTTCAGAACTTATACGTAGAGACGATGGACTCTGAAAAACAAACTGAGGGTTCTAGAGGGGAGGGGGGTGGGGGGATGGGTTAGCCTGGTGATGGGTATTAAAGAGCGCACGTTCTGCATGGAGCACTGGGTGTTATGCACAAACAATGAATCATGGAACACTACATCAAAAACTAATGATGTAATGTATGGTGATTAACATAACAATAAAAATTAGTTAAAAAAGAAGAACTCTAGGCAGTTCTTTCCAGAGTGTGAAGTACCAACAGGTGTTTGGGGGGGGTGGGATGGGACTTTGACGTAAGGAGGGATCAGGTTATAGAAAGCTTTGTGTGACAAACCTGCCTGGGTGGCTCAGTCAGTTAAGCGTCTGACTTTTAGTTTCAGCTCAGGTCATGATCTCAGGGTCCTGAGAATGAGCCCCGCATTGGGTTCCTCTCTCATTGCAGAGTCTGCTTGTCCCTCTCTCTCTGTGCCTCCCCCCACTCACGCTCTCTGTCTCTAAAATAAATAAATAAAATCTTAAAAAAAAAAAAAGAACTTATACGTAGAGTTCAGACCTTTATGTGTAGATCACAGTGTTGTGTAAGAGCACTAATTATGGGGCAAGACTTCTGGATTCAATTTCTGGCTTCACTATTTACTAGATATGTGATATTGGGCAAGCCATTTAATTTTTCTGGCCTCAGTCTTCTCATCTACAAAATGAGGAATAATAATAAAATCTAGCCTATAATATTGTTATAAGGATTAAACGAGATTATAAAGCATTGGAAGCTGTTCCTGGAACAGGGTAAGTGCTATAAAAGTGTTAGCCATTCTTAGTAATGTTAAAATATACTACTATTTTAAAGTGACAGATTAAAAAGAAGGAGGCGGAGAATTGTATTATCCCTACATGATTCAACATCAAACTTTATAGATTGCAGTAAAAAGAGAAAAGCTCCCCATATCTCTAATCCTGAGCTGGCAGTAGGTGTGCTTAAAGGTTAAAGCTGATTAGTAGCTCCCAAATACAAATGAATTGCAAGAATAGGTTCCAGACACTTGGTCCTACATGCTCCAGGATACCACCTCCAGAAAAGTTTATCACCCTTTGCTTTAACTTAATCATAGGGGCAACTGAGTTACTATATAACCAGATTTAGTGAACATACTGAAATGAGAACACCGTCACAATTAAAACCTCCACTGATGGTTTGACCTTGAGTGTTTATCCCTCATCTACTCCATGGGAACATGGACATTAGTTTATTGGATGAAATTTAAACCACCTTTTCCTATTTGCCTCCTTTTTAAATGGTGAATCCTGGTAAAACACAAAATATTAAAGTGTTCATGCTGTTTATGGCATGTTTGTACTGTTATTAAAATAATTTTGAAAACTCTCATAACCAATGCATCTTTTTTTCCCCACAAGTCCAAAAATGTATCGAGGATTTGCAGACCTGAGCACCTGCTCAGTTAAGATACTGAACAGGGTGAAGAGATTAGAGGCATGGAAGGAAGAAGAATATATTGCACAATAGTTTGATCTTTTTCATTTCAAGTAAAATAAATGTAAAAACTGTTTTCTGTTGCTTTTGATGCTAATACCCTCTGATATATTTCTGTTAACATAAATGTGCTTGGAAAGATAACATTTAATACTGAAAGAAAATGAAATAGGGCATAATCAAAAGTTTCTTTTGTTTTGATCATTTTGTTACTATGTATTAAAAGCTCCATGATAGTAGAAATTGTATCCTTTCATACACATATTTATTTACATATTTAGGTATTTAATAAATATTTGTTGAATAAATAAATACATGAACAAATGGGTAAGCAAACCAGCTGTCTCAAATTCTTAGTTTCCTAAACTTTCCCTCAATTATATGAGGCATCATGTGTCACATTGTTTTATTTTTATTACATTGATAAAGTGAGATTTTTTGTATCTAATTATGCTTTCCTATAACACACACTCTTTGTTGTTATTAAATATAAAGGCATTGCTCAGCTTAATACCCCTGTGTTACTGTGTTTACAGCAACGTTAGAGAATGTTGCAAAAGACGCCTCAAGATATCCATGTTTCTGAAAAGTTTTGAACCTCTTTTCATCTTCAGTAACATTCAGGAAATGATTTACTTTGCCAAAAAAAAAATAAAGAGAGAGCAATTCTCCCTATCACCACAGTGCAAGAAGTCAGGGCAGAACACAGAGCATCTGGAGATGAGGAGAAGAGGCAGGAAGAACTACAACACTCTTCAGTCATTGTTGGAGATAAAACAGACAACACAATGTGGGGGAGAATGCAGGACAACTTGGACAATGTGAAAGCAATTCAGACAGGATGCCTCCAAAGCAATTAAGTTGGTTGCGTGTATCTATAGGTTTTCTCTGACCCTTAAGGCAGCTTAAACCAGAAGTTTATATTAGAACCCCATTATTTATCCTTTATAAGTTATTTCATGTAATTATGCTTAAGCAAATTTTAGAGTAAATTATTTCTAGTTCTTATTCCAGAATGTTATGTCATTCATTTGCACCCAATTGTTCTTACTGTCTCTATGATGTCGACTCTTGAATTTTTTCTTCTGGATGCTATAAGTTTAATTTTAATCCAAATTAACTTAAATATCAATTATATGTTTGTGATGCTAAAATGCTCATGATTTCGTGTGCATTTGCAAAATACAGGCATATAAATGAAAAATAGACAATCCTGTAAGTATATTTTCTGATGATTTATTTTTAATATTTTAAGTGCATTTCTGAGATTTGTGTGAAGAAAATAATAATATCCAGAATTAACACTTTAGAAAGTCTAGTATTTCTAAATTTCTGAGGATAATGGCATTCCTTTTGGCAAGATAGAAATATTTTATATCTTCTTAATCTTTACACAGAATGTTTATGCAGTCTTAAAAATAATACATCAATGCCATTAATCCAATAAAAACCAATATAAATATTTATTATCATATCAGTACCAGTTTAACAAAGATATTTTTGAAGTCTCATACTTACATTGGCATCTTTCCCAGCTAATTTACATAATTCCACTCGTTCCTTTGCAGCGGGCCAATAAATCTGTAAAACATTTCAAAGTGTGTCAGAATCTGAATATCTAAAACACCCTACGATTCTAATTAGGAAAATGAGTGTGTTGAATTGAAGAGTGGGTATCAGGCTAAAACTATGTTAGATATGATGCAAGACTTTTGAGATTTAGATATTTTCCAAAGCCACCCTAAAAAAATTTCTAAGAAAAACTATAGAACCATTCATTTGTATATTTCAGTCTTTTAATTTCTTTTTAAATGTATTTAATAATAGATAAATTATGTTGAGAGAAGGCCAAAAATTCTTATCGTGATGTTGATAGAATTTCAGAATAGCATTTGCTTAAGGAAGAGATTCTATTTATGCTCTTTTTCTGTACTTACTCAGAGTGGTGGGGCATTATAAATGTGTGCAGGGAAGTGTGTGAAACAGCACTTTGTTACAAGCATAAGTTATCACTCCAAGTCAAAGACCAGTGTGGATTTGCTGGCAAATTTAACATGTATAGAGCTCAGATGCATCTGTCACTTAAACATTTTTTTATGTATTATCTTATTTAAATCTCACAACGACCCCATGACATGGCTGTATTTACTCTCCCCATTTTCACATCAGAAAACTCATTCATACAGCCATTAAGTAACATGTCAAGTAACATGCCACATACATAGTCACCGGCAAAGCCAAAATATGACCCGAGTCTCTCTGAAGTAGGGGGTCTCAATCACCACATAGTAATTATTATTTGGGCAAATGATTAAGGAAGGAGGTGGCAAATCCCTTGGTTGGTAGCTTTTAATCATGTTTTAACTGTCTTGGAATTTATCACACAGGTTTTTCTTTTGTTTTTAACAAAGTTTAGCAACTCTGTCAAGAAGGTTTTGCAAAATAAGATTCAAACAGTTACTTTACTCCATTAGCTTAAAGAAACGCTCTCTGCTAAGCTACAGGCAAGAAGAAACAAGAGTTAGCTCTGAGTTGCTTATAATATATGTTCCAAGAGTTCCTGACAAACTTTGATTACATTTCTCACCAATGTTAGCAGAAAATGTCTTAATAGGGTGAGGAAAAAGGAAAATATCCTGAGGGAATGCACTGAAAGAGTCTTGTTAAACCTGGAATTCACAAATGACTTAGAAGTCACCAAAATGTATATGGATTATCTTCATAGTATAATTTTAGGGTTTTCTGTCTCTGAATAATAGAGACATAGAGAAGAATAGAGAATACCACTCAAACTCTCTTAATAGACAAATTCAATAAAATTACTAAGATTTTTAAATGAAGCAATGTTGTTCATTTAGAGCACATTTTAACAGGCTGCAAATTATAGTCCAAAGGTGTATCTAGGCAGGTTGGTAGAGCCTGCAGTAGGCTCAAGTGATGAGCTAACCTTGATGTGGTTCGCAATAAGGACCTAAAGATGCCATTTATTCAAAAATGGCTTAAATCATGGCAATTATACTTTCATACAATTTTGAAAATTAGCCAGCCATAGAATATACATAGACCACAGCAATAAAAAATAGTAGGGGTGGATCTTAGCAATTCGTTATTAGGTAAAAAAGTACAGTCCCCCAACTTACAAACAGAACGATCCCCTCAGAATCATGTTAAAAAAAATTCTAAAATAAAATAGACACTTTTAAGGCATATGAGTAGATGGAATAAGTAAGTAAAAAGAACAAGAGAGTAAGGAATATGGGATTCGGAATGATGGTTGCCCCAGATTGGAAAAGAGAAGGCTTAAATTGTGGTAAGAAACAGTTTTTACCAGATCTTAGCTTTTGTTATGGGTGGTGCCTTTTTCAGGTATTTGATGCATAATTTAAAACAACTGAGTAATGCAGATTAGTAAATAAATTAATCAAAATGGGCCATGCATAGGCTGATGGACAATAGTCAATCATCAACCCAGAATCACGAGGTCCTAAATAAATGAATGAAGAGTAAACATGGAACACCATAGCTGGTGAGAAAGTTGAAAGTTTCTTCCAGTTGCTTTTTTTTTTTTTTTAAAGATTTTATTTATTTATTCATGAGAGACAGAGAGAGAGGCAGAGGCAGAGGGAGAAGCAGGCTCCCTGCCAATGCGGGACTCGATCCCAACCTGAGCCGAAGGCGGGCGCTTAACCGACTGAGCCACCCAGGTGTCCCTCTTCCAGTTGTTTTTTAATTGTTTCTTTGCTTATTTTTAACCATTAGTAGCAAAAGCACTGAAGCCAGTGTTCTTTTTCTCTCCTATAAAAATGTCATCTTGAATTCATGGTAGTTTGCTTCTGATTTGGGTTTGTGAACTCAAGGCACCCTCTCTCAAGGTATCTTTTTTTCTTGATAATTCATTTTTATTATTATTTTTAATTGTGATAAAGTAGACATAACATAAAATTTACCATCTTAGGCATTTTTATAGTTCAATATTGTCAAGTATATTCACTTTGTGCAACCAATCTCCAGAATTCTTTCATCATGCAAAACTGTAACTCTATACTTGCTGATTCTTGAATATTATAGTGATTTTACAAAGGACAACCTTGTATCATTGGACTGAAAATGAAGAGTATGCAGAATACATATCCATGATCTGTCAGTGGGTTTAACTTTTAGCTCATTTTACCTGGTCTCTAGTCTAGATTAATACTTCTTTGAGTCTTTTCAATATGTCAGATGCTATTCTTTTCTGTTTTTTTATGATGATAAGTTTCAATCATATTTCAGAAATAAATTTAGAACAAATAGTTATAGACATTTGTTCTGATCTAAATATCTTATTCGTATGAATTCTATAAAAAAAGAAAAGGAAATACAGAATTCTTCTATATTAAGTAAATAAGATTTAAAGAGGAGGAAGATTATCACAGGGTTCTAGTTTTTTTTTTTGTTTTTTTTTTGTTTTTACCTTGAACCAGCTTATTGGGTGATGAGTTAAAAAGCAAATCCTGAGCTAAATGTTTCTACAACTGATTTTCAATGTATTTGTAGAGGCTTCAGAAAGAAGGGAGTTAAAGAGTGATGAGACGTGGAAGCAGTTTTTACGTCTTCTTTGAAATCTAAATGAAAGTTCCAAAGTTAGCACAGAGTAGGTATTGTTCATTAGTTATTTGTTAATTACACACATAATTTACAAAGGGCTCTCTGTATGTCTGGCAAGGTGTGGCTGAGTCAGGAAGGTAGTTCTGTAAAGAGATAAGGTAACTGCATATCTCCGAGAGATTGAGCTGAGGAGAGAGCTCAGAGGACAGAGCCACCGTGCTCAGGGAGCACTAAAGGGCTCGGAGCGGCTGACCAACATACAGCGCCCGACTTTCCATTGTTTTCAATTACTTGCTCTTGACAGTTTCGACTCTAATTTTTTCCGAAGGACTTAATACTAAAAATAGTAGTTGCAGATTCCTTTCTTCTCTTTGTAAAGGAATACAAATCTCTAAAAGATGTTTTAATGGTTTTGTTGTACATTTTCAGCTATTAATTGTAAGTCATAGAATTGTAAGTTGAATTGATTGTTGAGTCACATAATTGTAAATTGAAGCGTGTCATCCTAAGTTAATGAAGCAATAAAACTAAAATTACAAGCATCAGAGAATCAGGTTTTTGATTAGCGGGTAAATGTTCTGCAAAGATACCCAAGCACTGAGAATTTGTTGAGCGCCAGAAACCAATTTTAATAAATCTTCTAATCTCTGCTTATAAAGGATATTTTTTCCCAAAATGTTATCTCACTTTTCATCATTTATCTTCAATCCCACAATGTCTAGACCCTGTTAAAAATAGAAATTATCCTTTAATCATTATTATTGTACAGTAATTCTAAGATAGTATCACAAAGATAATTTAACTTCTTAAGATAACATAAGCCTCCAAAATAAAGATTCATTAAGATTATACACTGGCTTATTTTGACACAATGCTGTCAAGAATTCAGGAATCACAAATAGAATTACCTTAATAACAACAACCTAGGAGATACCTGATTATCTTCCAAACCCGAAACATTTACTTAAAAGGGGGAAAAAAAGAATCATTGTAGTTGTGCCAATATTTAAAAGTATCATTTTAATTATGATTTATAGTGGGATTTTCTTTTACTTACCATCTAGTCATTAGAATAAAGGGTCTTTTAAAAAATACTCCTTTTAATTCTTCATTGATAAAGAATTTAAAGAAGCAAAATTTCACTTAATTCAATCTAAAAATATAATCAAGCAAAACAATAAGTAAAAACAACAAAAAACCTCATACTTATATGGGGTTGGCAGAAATATGTTCAAGCGATAGTTTTGCTTTTCAATAATGTTTTGAGGTGGCATATATGTGACATACAAATCACTATCTCTATCTATCTATATAAGAGTTCTCCACCATTTTCACATTTTTCTACTCAAATTGTGTGTGCACATGTGCATGGTGTGTATGCATGTGCATATATATGTGCATGTGTTTGTAGGTGGATAGAGAGGGAGAACAGAGAGATGTACACAGAGACAGGTCTAGAGAGAGAGATTAACTCCAACTGAGTATAGAACAACAGAATTCGTGAATATTCCCAAGTTTCAGCATGGTTTACACAAAAGCCCAGGAAGGACTGGAGATCCTCAGATTATTCCAGTACTGTATATTATTATATTCAGTAGCCCAGATTGTTTCAGTAAAAATACAACGTCCACAAAATCTATAAAAAGCCCTTTTGATCATTAGGTAATGTGGACAGTTTTGAAGCAGTGGTTATTAACACTCTCATTACTTCTGTATTTATTGGCAATAAAATGACATGTACATTTCCTTGCAATTTAGAGCGTGGTACATGCAGGGTCACGCTGCATTAAAGGCTGCACGAGTAGGACAAACAAGACACATATCTCTAAAGTTGATGCAGCGTACTACTCCCTTAGAAAGTTACCCATGGACATTTTTCTTTCACTTATCAAAAGGAGACATACCAGAGGCAGAGATGCTACTTGCATAACTGCCATATTAATTGTCCTGAAATATTCCCATGGAACACTGGTTCTTAACCAATATTGTATGAT